GCATGCAGAATATACATCTTAGCCATTTTCGTCCCCGTCTATATATCCCTAGGGCGAAACAATCTATCAATTCCCGACTCCCGGGAGTTGATGGTTCATGCCCGCCCTCCTACAAGACTAGGCGTTCAAATATCACAGATTATTCCTCTGCCGGTCCATCTGGTTTACAGATTTACTCAGGGTATTTCACCTGCTCTTTGGGCCTTGACGAGCTTCCTGGATAACAAGAATCAGGTACAGCGGAGCAAGAACCCCTTTTTTATTAACTTGCTAGTAATGCTCTTGGGGGATTCTAACCTTTGGGGACATCAGGTCTCGAACCTGAGATAATGATATGCAAAACCACGGTTTTACCCATTAAACCATATCCCCTTAAAATAAGCAGCGTTTTGAAAAACTACTCCACAACTCAAGTACTACTCAGAGTCATTCTGAGTTGGGTTGAGTTGAGTATTAGCAACTACTCAACTCAACTCAAGCTGATTTATAATGCTGTAAATGATATTGAGTATATATATATATATATTACCTTATCTGGAGAGATAGGATTTAGGACTTTTAAGCGAGAAAAAACGTGTATATTTTGGTCGCTTTATATTAAAGGACTCCTTTGTTACCTGTATATATCGTGTATATAGGAACACTAAAAGTACGATCTGACTCGTAAGGCCGCATCGAGCGTAAAACGCTTCTAAAACTTATATAAATTAGTAAAAGGTAAATTAGAGTAATATGCTACGATTCTGTTTTCTTAGATTACTTGTATAATTATTGTAGCAGGAGTTATATAATTTCGAAGTTATCGCTACCTTTTTACTACCTTTAAAATACGACTATGCCTAGGTACCTAGGCACCTACGTAGGAATACTAAAACCGAGAGTAGTACTCTCGCGCCCGTATCTAGCTGTGACGGTTATGGTCACGAGGGCTGGATGTCACATGCTCGCTTAGCGAGGCGCTAGCGCGCACGACCTGTATTTAGTTCCCAGCTCTCTCGAGCTCTCCTTCTTTCCTCGTCTTTTGTCCTAAGAATAGAGTGTTAATTGTTCTGAGTTCTACCTGAAGCACGTCTGTCACATTACAAAAGACCCTTAGTTGAGGCTAAGTATCCCAGGTCTAAGTTCACGTTCACGTCCAAGTTCAGGTCCACGATCTTACGTCTCAATTCTCACGATTTCTACCACTTTCTTGTGCGCAAGAACCCTACACTTTACAACACGACGAAACCTCTTCTTTTTTCGACTTCTCTACAATGGATGCCCTTCAAGTTCAGTCCGCCATCGCTGAGTTGCAAGCTGAAGTCCAGCGACAGCGCGACGAGATTCACTTACTCCGGTCAAGAACATCCGCAAAGCCTAAACCTTCCCTCCCAGACCCTGACAAATTCACTGGCCAGGCTCATAAATTCGACACCTGGCTTCCCTCAATCAAAGCAAAGCTACGAGTCGACGGTACAGCTATTGGAGACGCTATTGCGCAGTTCTACTACGTCTACCTCAACCTTGACTCCCACGTCCAAGCCATGGTCCTTCCACAGCTCTCTCAAGCAGAAGACACCCAAAGCTGGGACTACCAAACAATCCTCGAACAGCTCGCGCGCGTGTACGACAATCCAAACAAGGTACAGGAGGCGGAAGACAAGCTATTTGCCCTCAAGCAAGGTGCTGACTCAGTCCCTACATATATCGCCAAGTTTGAGCGTGTCCTTTACGAAGCAAGAGGTCAGGACTGGCCAGATGTCAACAAAATTTCCACCTTTAGGAATGGCCTTAATTCTACTCTTCGCGGACGACTTTCTCAACAACTCAACCTACCTCGCGATTATACTACATTCATACGCGTCGTACAACAATTAGCAGGCCGCTTCTCTTCGTCTACACAACCTACACAGTCCTACTCCTCTGGCAACCACCACAGCGAACCAATGGACATAAATGCTTTTAGCATCAATTCCATCGACCCATCCTCTCCTCCACGCGCTCGCTCTATTTCCCCTGAGCGTAGAGATCAATATAGAGCTGAAGGCAGGTGTGTACGATGTGGCTCCTTGGAACACTGGGTCAACGATTGCATACTCCGTCCTTTCTCACCAGGACCACAAGGAAGGAAATCAGCCATAGATTTGGGGGATCTACCAGCTGGGGAGGCATTCCCAAAGCCAGTACGAAAGCAGATTGCAAGACCAGGCAGAGTAGTAATAGCAGCTATGAACGACAATGCTTACGATAGCGCGGAGGTAGATTCGGACGATCCTGACCATCCAGATGCCTGGCAAAAGGGTATTTTTCACAATTAGTTCAGATTTTCAACGCTCGGGGCGAGCTCTTTTTAAAGGGGGGGGTATTGTGACGGTTATGGTCACGAGGGCTGGATGTCACATGCTCGCTTAGCGAGGCGCTAGCGCGCACGACCTGTATTTAGTTCCCAGCTCTCTCGAGCTCTCCTTCTTTCCTCGTCTTTTGTCCTAAGAATAGAGTGTTAATTGTTCTGAGTTCTACCTGAAGCACGTCTGTCACACTAGCTAGACTCCTATTTAAAACGTATACAAATCGAGTATAAATAATCTAAGTATCTAAGCTATATTTTAGTGTTCTTGCTATACTCTTACAATATTTATAGCTAGCAGAGTATAGGCTAGTATACCAAGAGCTGAGAGTATCCGAGCTCTATGTAAGGCGCATAGCCACGCTCTAGCCACACCTATAGTCGTATTACTACTACCACTACTACTCGCGCCCGTATCTAGCTAGAATTGAATTAAAAACATATATAGAGCGAGTATAAATTATCTAAGTATTTAGGCTATATTTCGGTGTTCTTGTGATACTATTACGATATCCATAGCTAGTAGGGTATAGGCTTAGGGCTAGTATACTAAGAGTAGTACGTAGGCTAAGAGTAAGATTATATTGTACCAAGGTACTAAGCTAAGAGTATCCGAGCTCCGTGTGAGGCTAAAACTACTACTCTCGCGCCTGTATCTTAGTAGAATCGTATTTAAGAGATATATTAATTAGATATAAATAATCTAAACATTCTAGCTATATTCCGATATTCTTACTATACTATTACGATATCTATAGCTAGTAGGGTATCGGCTAGACAAGTACGACTATAGATTTTAGTAGGGTGCTAGGGGTATGTTGCTTCGAGCCTTACCACGTGATTAGCCGCCTCTACGCTTTTCCTTAGTATTTAACTTTTAATTAATAACTTATTATTATTAAAGTATAAACCTTAGCTATACTACCTACTTAGGGAGCCAGCGAGTTCGCACGAGCTAGCGTAGCTAGCGAGGCGTGCTCGCAACCTAATAACTTAATAATGAATTATATTTATAATTAATAATTAAATAATTAAAATAAATCAACTTATAAAGAGACTATTAGACCTAATAAGAGGGCGAGGGCGAGCCTGCGAGCCCGTCTGGCCTCGTAGTTATATATGATTTATATTATCGTTTAATTAGTTAATGCGAAAAACGACTTGAACGTTCACGATATTATATTAAGAAAGCAATGAAGCATGTGTACATCTCGCTCTTACGTAGCCTATTATATTGTATCCCAGGACATCACCCCTTCTTTGACTCCAAAGAAGTAGTGAAATACAATTTGCCCCTGCCTTTCCCGAGGAATCCTCTATTTCAAGATTAGACGAATACACGCCGTCAGAAATGCCCATCAGTTAGTAAATCCCATATATAAGTAACTAGAAAAATACTATTCTTATAACCTTGTCTCGGTTGATAAGCGAGAAGATTAGATAAGGTTTCAGAATCTTTTCCTTATTCGATTATAGAGCGAGTTAAGTTTAGTAGCGAGTTTTTTAATACCTAAGTTTAATTAAGTAAATTATACTACTTAACTTGACTACTCAAATTTAGTGTTGCGTAACGAGGGTGACTAAGCAAGCTTACATATATCGTTTGATCCATTCAATCACTTGTCCACAACAACAACGAATCAACTGGTTGTTGTTGTACGCTCGCAAAGAGCAGTTTCTTCTTAAAAAGCTGGTCCTTTCGTCAAATCAAGTCATAAGTACTCCCCTTCAAAGTCAATTCGACGGTGCAACATGGCTGGTACTGGTTCAGGAAATCAAACGGGCTCAGGCTCTGGCTCGGGTGGCCAACAACCACCACTACCACCACTCAATCGGATGCAATTGCCATCACTTTCTCAGATGCAATTATCGTTGGGGAATCGGTTGAGAGTGGAGGAATACAACCACCGGATGGCGTTGTTGACTCAGGAGTCACAAACTCGAATTAATGCAATGGCAAACAACCCAGGAGGAGCAGGAGGTGCTGTGACAGGACTGGCTGGGGGGCTGTTTGACCCAAATTATATATCCTCCACCTCCTACGTGAAGCTGAGTATAAGCAAAACGCTATATAAAAGTAGGTATACCCTAAGAGCACTTAACGTATAGTTATAAAAGTAATATTTTCTATTTTCTAAGTAATTTAATAATAAACCTATAGATCTAAACCCTACCCCCTCTCCTAAAACAAATAACCGCGTAACTCCCTCCCGCGAACCCCCCTTTCCAAAAGATCTAATAAAACCAAGAAAGAATACCTTCTTTAAACCCCTAAATCTTCTAAAGGAAAACTACTTTTTAACCTCCCTTCGCGTAAGATTTAGATACCTTTTATATCCTCAGAAAAAATGAGAATAATACAGTTAATCTTTACACCTTACGCGACAACCACCAAGATTCGCGTAAAAACCTCCAAAAAACCAAAAAACCAAAAAGTCTTGGCACGCCTCACCATTCACCCCTTTTTAAGCGAACAACTCTCACTCCACCAACACTTCACCACCACACCTCACAACCACACCAGAACCAATGAAAAACTTTTCCATCAGCTCAAAGAAAATTAACCCCTACCTAGCGCACTAGCACACCATCACGTGCACCCGCAATTTCCCACACGACATAAACCAGCAGCAGCAGCACAACACCGAACTTTACCCATCACCACAACGACAAGATGACCCAATCGGAGGCACACTGGCAGGCATCGGCTCCGGGGGAGTGCCAGCAACAGCTGGAGGCCTTTATGAGGGACCTGATCCGCGACGTCTTCCCTTCCGCCCTCAGACCAACGCCATCGCAACCACAACTTGCCAGCACAATGGCAGTTGAACGAACGATCGCGCGCTTGGAGAGCCTCGAAAGAGGCGAAGGCAGTAACAAGTCGCGCCTCGCCAGCGCTGAATTTCGTGGCTCCTCCGCCGTCAGAAGACGAGGGGGGAGAACCCGCATCGTCGCTCGTCCTTGCTACGGGCCTGGACGGTGTGAGAATGCTCTTTGTGGGCATTCTCATATCGTTCCTGAGTAAGTCGCACCCCTTCTCCTTCCCTTTCCCTCTTCCAATGGAGTGTTGTTAGCTTGCGAAAGCTCTGGGGTCTCGAGGGAGACGATCATCTTGGAGACTCGCCTCGTGTGGGCTCGAAGATGAGGTCTACACAGACGACGATGAGTGGTGACTCGAGATCTGAGCAAGATCGAGGTTGGAGCAAGGCTTCTGAGATCCAAAGCTGTCTTTCCACACTCGTCGCGACCATGAGATGTCAGATCGAAGCAAAGTACACAAGCTAACGTGAACCAGAGTGGCCCTAGCACCACCAGAGACTGCGGAGATAAAGATGGAGGGGAAGGTTGTTGCGGTCGTTCGCGACCGTTGTCTAAAGGAGGGATACAATGTATCCGAGACGTTTGCGAGGCAGTGGTGTCTTGCAAACGATCTTAAGATCCTGGGGGCTGTGGCCGGGATCCAAGAGAATATTGACAGCCGTAAGTTTTGCAATCCCATCATCTCTCTCATCACTGCCCCGAGGAATAAGCATATAACACTGACTTGGCATCTAGGTGAGCGCCGGTACCAGGCATGCGGACGCACCAACTGGGTGCATGTCAATGTTCTTGCGGACAACCGACCACAGAACATGTTTGGGGAGGACGAGTACCGCGATGAGAGGATCCGGTATCTCGAGGATGACGACATTGGCCTTCAAGGCATCTTGAAGGGCAATTGGAACTCTGCCTAGTAAGTACTCTTCTCTCGCTCTCATCCCTGACTTCAAGAGAGAGGCATGTGCTGACATACTTGCAGCGGCAGAGAGATCAAGGAACGGTTTGCTGGCGACAAGGTCGCACAAAAGAAACAGTACAAGCTGTACAGGGCCGAGGCCAAGTATCGAAAGGACCGAGGGGAGTACCACCAGGATCTCCATTCCAAGGCGTACGCCGCGGAGGAGATCCAGCGACTCTTGGAAGACTTCGATACCGAGCACGAGCCCAAGTACGATCTCGACAAGTTCCCAGAGGAGGAAGATGACATGCGTACCTCGTATCTTCCCTCTGAGGCGCCAGCAGCCGTTGCCGAACCAGCAGTCGTCGCCGCCCCAAATCCCGAGCCTCCAAGGAAGATGGGTCACTGGACCAAATTATACCTCGAAGCGAAGGCAGATTTCGAAGCCTTTCAGGCAAGAAAAGCTGAAGAGGATGCCAAGGACCTCGAGTCCTCGGATGAGGACGAGGAGTTTGACGGCTCGGAGCACAGTGAAGACGACGGCTCACTCGAAGCCCAGGCAAGCGACGAGGAACGACAGCCGCCATCCAATCTTCCCGAGGATGACCCTGTCGGAGAAGACGTTTGTGACGAGGAGGAGGAACTGCCAACCAACGAACCAGTACCAGACTCCCCCACAAACAACATGGCCGCGTTCCCTCCTGCACCAGAGCTCACAATGGTATGTCCTCAACCAATCCCTTATCATGATTCTCATTTTCAGAACTGACAATCTCCTAGGAAGCTTTGGAAGCGATGACGAACGAAGAGCAAGTTCTCCAATTTCTCCTCCGCCCAAATGGACGTGGCATCATCTACCAAAAGATCGATAACTTGAAGTGCACTCTCGTAGACCGTATCAACGCCTTGGACTACTATCTCAAGAAGTATGCCGACGACCTCGACGAAGAGTCTAAACGCGCACTGGAACTCCAGATGCTGCATTACCGATCTCAACAGGAACGAATCGAGCGCAAAGACTACAGAGTCGTCGAGGAGCGTATTTTGACCGGTCAAAAGATCGTTCGCTTCGATAACCACGGAGATGAGGAGGCGAAAGGAAGATTGGCGCGCAAGAAAGAGGCCGCTGCCGCTTATCGTGTTACTCCCGACAAGCCAACCAACGCGTCTTCTGCCAAACCCTCCGACGCGACTTCTGCCAAGCCTTCTGGCGAATCTTCTGGCAACTCTTCTGGCAACTCTTCAAATCAACCAGGAGGTTTCATGAACCTGGGATTCGAAAAGAGAGAGCTTACAGAGGCCATGGAAAAGGTTGTGTTGACGAAGGACTTGACTCCTGAAGAACGCACTAGACGACTCGCTGGTGTCACTGACGAACTCACAACCGAAGGGCCCATCATGAAGAATCATGATCGCAGCGAAGAGGAGAAAGCTCACTATCTTGCACGTTTCCAGGAGTTCGATGCCAATCGCCAAAAATACAAGGGTTTCTCCAAATCCATGAAACCAAAGGCTGAGAAGGCTGAGAAGGCTGACCAAACCGACAAGCAAGATGATGACAACAAGCAAGATGATACCAACAAGCAAGATGATGCCGCCGAGGTCGAAGAGCAAGATGAAAAGCCGGTGATGTCTGAAAAGGCACGCGGCAAGCAACCAATTCGTCCTTGGGAGCAAAATACCACCAAGACCCCTCCTGTTACCAAGAAGCCCGTCAAGTCCAAGAAGCACTCCGAGAGTCTTTTCAAGAAATTGTCCAAGAATACAATTGAGAGCAAGCTCGAAAGCATGAAACTTGACAACAATGACCCAATTGCCAATCTTGCAAAGCTCCGTCGTGCAAGCGCTGCCCTCATATCTGACATCGCGACCCCCGAAACCCCCAGTCACGATGAGGGTGATACTACTTTCGACGCTACCCACGATCCAGATGCGGAGGAGGCAAACGTCGACGCGTTCTTCGCCGATGACACAACTGACATGGATGAGTTGCAAACCACTCCTGGCGGAACCACAAATACCGAACGAGCTGCCACTACCAATACCACACAGTTCTCTGGAGCTACGATTCCTGAATCAGAACCCGCTCGACAGCCTCCAACTGCACAAGAACTGGCGTTCCATGAGATTGAAGTGGAAGTGAACCTTATCACCAACCGTATCCCTGTTCAAGAGTAAGTCCCCCTTTTCGCGCCTAAACAAACAGACAACTAACAATCCATAGACGTGAATTTTTCCGGCGTGTTATGAGATTCCATCAACTCACGGGCTATAGACTCTACCGCGGTAAGTTCTTTGAGCACGATGTCGCCATGGTCATTCATCACCTCGAACGCAGCCTCGGATACACACCCCCTGAAGGCATCGACATCGGAGTCATCTGCAAGCTTCTCGGACTCTGCAATAACGACCCCATTCGCGCTTACAGTTTCCTGAAGATATTGTATGAGGATATCACCGTATATTTCGAGGAGATCGGCGTCCGAAACGCGACCTGGTCGATGTACGAGGCCACAATCTTGCGATGGGAGTTGTACTACTGGCACTGTCTTCTGACCATTGAGGCGATTATGACGCGGCATAACATTGTAATCGCTCAAGACTGAATGCTTGCTTTCTTGCTCTTCTGGGATTCGACAGGATGATTTGGATGGCCAATTTCTCTTTGGGATTTGGTTGGAATACATTATGGTTGGCGGATGGAATCTTGGGAGACACCTCGTGTGCACCGAGTAGGATACCTGCGGTCGAAGGATTTGTTCTCTGGATTGCATATGTTTGTATGCTGGCGGCGTTTGTCCTTGATCTTGAGCGTTGATAGCCTTGATACCTACGGTGGCGGCGTTTATTTGGCTGATAGCCTTTTTTCTTTTTTCTTTTTTCATTTTTCGTTTTGAGATAGTTCCCTCCACTCAACTGGTTGATGACGATGCTGCAGTGCACTGAGGTTCAACCCATCAGTTGCTTTATGGTGTTTGTAGATGAGGCAGCCATCTTTCTTTTCACAAAAAGTTAATAAAAGAATCTCTTCCCCAGTCCTGACTCCTGATAATTGACATGTGAGGGGTGGAGGTTACGGTCTGAATTGCAGGTGATAAAAGTGATATGCTTGTGTTACCAGTGACAACCCGCAACATTCATAGCTGGGCGTAGCTGGAAGGTAGGTAAGGCTATGGGATGTTAGACCTGTAGCCTTGAACGACGTCTGACCCGTACGAACGAAACTTATCTTGAAGTTTCCAAGCGCTTACGAGGCACTGAATAGCCTCCTCAAATTCAACCTACTCACAGCTTGCACAAGTGGCTTTTCTGACAGAGTTGGGGGAGTCATTGCCATATATACAGGGCAACGGTCAAAGAAAGCATATTCATGAATCGAGGTGGTTATATTCCTTCACTTCATCATTTCTAGCAAAGGAATCTACCAAGATGTGGGTGGTAATGAGAACTGTTGCTCCCCTCAACCGAGCGATGAGGTTAGAAATGGTCGCTTGGCGGGAGACCCATTTTAATGTACGGTAGCACCATTTCCATTTTAGCCGTCGGGCGTTCCCGATGCGTCACTACATTTCGAGGCCTCAGCCCAGCTGCTATAAGGTTACCTACAGCCACAGTTCTCGAGTGCCTATACGGGAGCCCGGTTCATGAGCATCGGGCGTCGTAGTGTATTCCAGATTCCAGAATCCAGGCGTAGTCATCACCAGTGATCCGCGTCCAGTACGAGTCAGTAGTCGGTAGAATCCCAATGTTCTGGAATGCGGCTCTTGGAATGTTTCCGATGTCTATATGCTTAATTCTGGGCTGGCTAAACTCTGGCACTGACCCTCATTTACGTCATGGGAGAGATTACCGGTACAGTAACTACTGGGTTGGGCAGCAAACACCACTACCGCGCCAGGTTGTAGCATGGGTGGACTGTACCTATTCCCTTTAAATCTACCAGGACTTGAGTACATCCAAGGGACTGAAAAAGGAGGTGGTTGGGAAGAAGATTTTCCGTAAGAGTCATCTTTTAGATTTCGTCTTGCCTCTTTTCCTTGGTTGCTGTACATGTAGAAATCTGCAGTCTGATGATGTGAAGGAAGCTCCATTATTATTGCTCCACTCCACCTGGATTGGAACCTCGGATTCTATCATTCTACCCCGCCAACCTCATCGCGAGATTCCTGCCCCTCTGCTGCCAACTTAGCTGAACCGTTGATGTTACCTCGCAGGAAACGTGTTCAAGCAATATTTGCAGCACCAACACCAGCACGGCCATCATCTTCATCCTTGGCTGTCGTCTCTTCTTTTTCATTCTCCCATCGCTCCTTCCATCTCAATAATTCACCCACTGCCACTGCCACAGCCACGGCCACACCCCCTCTCAAAACGAAACACCAACACTATCGCACCGCACTGCACCGTAGCGATCCTCCAGGAAAGACCGGGTGCCGCTGTCATCGAAACTTCTCTGCGCCAGGTCATCCGTCCAAGTAACCACTAAACCATCTCGAGCAGTCACAATCCAACTATTCTGGGCCGCAACAGCCCATCTGACGCAACCATCACACGCTACGCTTCCAGGGTATCCTCCAGGGTATCCCAACAACCAACAACATCTCTTTCCAGGCACCACAAACACCCCATTTGCTGCTTTGTCAGCCACTTCTCTCGCGCATCTAGAAGCGTCAGTGGTCATTTCTCGCATAAGGCTGTGGGCCGTGGGCGGACACGAACCGAACCCTACCAACCTCTGTCCTCTACTCTAGCCCTCTAGCCCCTCGTTACTCGAGTCCTCGTCCTCGTATCCCCAACGTCTTTCTCATCCGAGGGGCAACGAAGGCCAAAAGAGGGACACCGAGAAAGAGGCTTAGTGGTGACCACAGACAAGGCTTGACCACAAACCACTACATCCGTACTACTACTTGCCCACCGACCCCACCATTTGAGAAACATCATCCGAAGCTGACCAGAGTCACTCTCGCCTCGTGTCGAGTCTTTCAGCGACCTGCTACTTAAGCCTGAGGGCATCAACTCACCCACCTCAATACCCTCTTTTGCTACGACCCGTCGACAACTTTCTCGCGACAACTACTTGGAACCCGTCAAAATGCCTGAAGTCTACCGGGAGAGAGTAACTCGCGGTTATGCAGGAAGAGATCGCGATGACTACTCGTCAGATGATGAGCGCTCTTCGCATGGACACTCCAGAGCTGGCGGCTCAACTTATCGCACGGTTCAACGTTACCGTGTAACTCCCGATAGAGTGGAAGCAATAGATGACCATCGTCATTCCTCTCGACTTGAAATATCGCGACCGAACGAGCGCATCGAAATCGACCGTCGCACGGAAATCGATCGCTCAAGTCGATCTCATCTTGGAGACCGCTTGTTTGACGGACCGGAGAGACCACGATCTGCGATCGATATCCGACCAAGAAACACCTATGTTGAGCGGGACCGGGTTGTCGAGCGCGAGCGCGAGCGAGAGCCTCTTCGAGAATCTACATATACGGAACGAGAGCGTGTGATTTCAAAAGAGAGAGATTCCCCTCATGAGTCAACCTATATCGAGAGAGATCGCATCGTCGAGAGAGAACGGGATGCACCTCGCGAGACTGCTTACGTCCAGAGAGACCGCGTAGTAGAGAGAGAACGAGATGCTCCCCGCGAAACCACATACATAGAACGCGATCGTGTAGTTGAGCGAGAACGAGAGCCATTCCGCGAGCCTGTTCGTGAGCGCGAGAGAACTACGGTGGTTGAAAGGGATCGCCAACGCTCACCCGAAAATGTGCGACCATGGGAACGAGGAAATAAGAGACCATGGGAAGACGAACGCAATATTCGAGAGACCGATGTCAGGATCGAGAAACGAACTACCTCGCCACAAAAACCTTGGGAATCTGAGCGTGACGTCCGAGAGACTGATGTTAGAATTGAGAAGCGTGTTGAACGTCGCGAAGAGCCATATGAGCTGGAGCGAGTACAAAGAGAAATCGAATACTACGATCGCCCAGATCCCCTTCCACAACCCATCATTATTCGCCAAAGGGCTCCAGAACCTCAGCAAATCATTGTGCAAGAAGCCCCCACCCCTGCACCTATAATCATTCCTCGCGAAGAGCCAACCGTTGAGGTTGTCCGCCGAACCGAGGTTTCGCAAGAAGTAGCTCGTCCAGAACCTAGAAGAGAAGAGGAAGATTACTATTATCGTAAAGACGTTCGCACTGTCCCTTCGAGAGAGGATGACTATGCTTTGGCCAGATATGACCGACGTGAAATCAGACCTCGTGATTCTGTCAGCGATTACAGTGATGGCGAAGATTATGTTTATAGAAGAAGAGTCATCAGACGCCGGAGTCGAAGTTCAAGCGGCCACCGTAAGCGCCATCTTGCCGAAGGGGCTCTGGCTGGAGCTGGAATTGCTGCGCTGGTTGGCAATCATCGCGAAAAATCTGGAAATGGACCTGAGCATCGTGGCCGAAATGTGGTCGGAGGAGCTGCTCTTGGTGCCATTGGAGCCGAAGTGGTTACAAGAGCACGAAGTCGATATCGCGAACACCGAAGCAGAAGTCGATCCAGATCATCTAGCCGACATTCACACACCAAAATCAAGACTGCTCTTGGTGTTGCCGTAGCAGGATTAGCTGCCGCTGCCGCTGCAAAGTATGTTTCAAATCGCAACACAGAAAGAGCCGAAATGGGACGTGGCCGTAGTCGAACTCGAAGCATATCGAGACGTCGTGGTCGCGATTCTAGTTATGATTCCGAATACGAAACCCGCACAACGACAACAAGAAGCAAGAGCAAACATACCGATCCTAAACACCGGAATGCGACAATCGCAAAAGCTGGAGCAGCCACTGCGGCCGTTGCTGCTGTTGCTGAACATATTCGAAGCAGATCACGCAAACGCAGTGGGTCGAGATCCAAGTCACGCATTCGAAAAGGTGCAGAAATCGCGGGAGCTGGCTTAGCTGGGGCTGCTGTTGCTGGGCTCTACGAGCAACGCAAAGGCAAGAATGAGGAAAAGGAGGTGGAACATGAAGTTAGGAGAGAAGCACGAAGAAGAAGCAGGTCCGCGAGCGCCAGGTCCGTAGGAAGGTATTCAGATCCAGGCGTTGACCCCGAATTAGGAATGGTTCAATACGGTACTGAACCCGTATACACCCACCAAACGACGACATACCGGGAGTATGATGATGATGATCGCGGTCGCCATTCGAGAAGCCGTCGAAGACGGTCATCAAGCTCCGATGATCGACGCCGTTCAAAGAGTCGCAGTCGAAGTCGTAGTCGAGTTCGGGATCTTGCTGGGGCAGCTGTTGGTACTGCGGCAGCTGCTATTGGTGTCAATCAGTATAAGAAGCGAAAGGAAAAGAAGGAGGCGCAGCGCGAGAGGGAAAGAAGACGTGAGGATCCCCGACATTCATCTCGTTCTCGGTCCCGTTCTTCATCATCCATCAGGACTTCTTTAGGGAGGCGGCTGTCAAATTTGATTCCAAAGTGATTAGCCGTGATGTAGTTCGTGGGTATATATTCAATATCTATTTTTTTTATAATGCCTTTTCCCCTGCGATACTAACGTCTTGCCTTTCAGGTTATGAAGAAGAGGATTCCCAAGACAACTATTACGCTCGCGATTATCCTGATGATGGTTACACTCCTTCGCCACCCCATGCTTCAGGCGGCTCATATTATCCTGAACAAGCGTATCCTGAAAATCCATATCATGATAATCAAGCTTATCCGCCACCTGCTGGCTTTGCGCCTGGGTTCACTCAACATCCTAATACAACTGCTCCAAATGTTTCTCAACCACCAATTCCACCTTATAATCCTGCGGATCATGTTGGTCAACCTCCAGGTTATCAGCAACCTCATAATAACTTTGGATATCCACCACCAGGGCCAGTCCCCAGAGCAGGTGACAATGTGAGTTCAAGAGCTCATCAGTCGTCTCCAGTCGAAACTCCCATTTCAGGTGGTGCGACGAATTTTCCATCTTTTCCTCCACCCCCTACTGGTCCATCTCCCGAAAGACCCATGAATGCGGAGGGTGCGTCTTGAGTCATTTTTGTTTTTTCAGTTTGTTGCTTAATTCTGCTATTCCTTGTGCTTTTGCGTACTTGGACTTTTGAGAGGGATATTTACTAACATTCCTTGAAGCACGTGTAAATAGACGCAAAATGTACACACCACCTTCCTCGCCAGAACAGTCCGACTCCGAATCTGATCGTCAAACCAATAAATCTGTCCAGTTTGCACCGCTTTCTCCAACTTCTGCCAGTCGCCTTTCCCTTATCCGAAAAAAGCAAAAACAGCGTGAAAATGAATCTTCTCAAGCACTCACTCGTTCCATCCCTGAAGGAGAACCTTCCGATCATGTATATGATGAAGCCGAATCTCCTCCTACTAGATCTCGCCATCGTCATCGCTATCGCCATTCACGACGACGACGTAGGAATAACTCTGACCCTTCTTCCAACCGACCAACTTCTACAAATCGGCATAGAAGGAGATATCGAAATGCCAGTCGTAGTCCATCACGATCGAGTAGTGAGGAAACGGAGATCCTACCTGATCGATTTGATGACCATGGGAGACTTATTCAGCGAAGGGATCTGGAGGCGGGGGGACAGATGGAGATGGTGGAGCGACTGGTTAATGATTTTGGGGATGTGGTTGAGGGGAGGAAATTGTGGAAGGATATGTTGAAGGATGCTGTTCTTACTGCGCAGGCTGCGGCTGGTGATGGTGGGAGGGGGAGGCGATGATTTCTTTTTTTTTCACTGGGTTTTTTTCCTTGGTTTCTTTCGTTGGTGATGGTTTCTTTTACTTACTCATTTCTTAATACTTGTTTTTCTTTTTCTTTTCCTCTTTGCGGTGATCTTCTTTTTCTTTGGTTGGGATCCTCGGATTCTTGGTGGACGATGATTTAGTTTTCTCCCCGTTTTCTTTCTTTCGGTTTTTTTTCTTTCGGTTTTTTTTAATGAGATGATGGATATGATGGATGGATGTGGTTGGTGGTAGGACAGCACAGGATAGGATAGGATAGGATAAGAGAATCGTGGTTTTAACGGACGGATGGATGGATGGATGAACGGATGAGGTTACGAGATTAATGACTTTATGAATTGATATATCCCTTTGAATTTTTAATTTTTTTGAATTTGACGTTTTTTTTTTGGGGCATGTGAAGAGGAGTAAATGTTTGTAGAATGTGAATTTAACTCTTGTAGCTCTTGTAACTCTTACTTTGACCGTATCTACATGTAAACAGCGCCATGAAAAACTACCCAATAACTCGAGTACTACACATACATAGTTCCTCCAAGTCAAGTCACTGTAAGTGAAGTAAAAGTAAAAGTAGCGGACTTGTACTTAAATTAGCCGAATTAAATTATATCAACTTCAAGATCCAACCCGGAAACTCCTCAAGTACCTAAGATACCATCCAAGTACGTAACCATAATATATAACTCGCTAGGTAGGATATTATAGGTGGATATAGTAGTAAAAAAGAGATGGATACTATATGTTACTATGTAACAGATCGACCTACTTACCTATCAAAGTACAGCTCAGTACGGTACTCGAGTATTACAAAAGCTATATATAACCGTAAGTAAAAACGGTCCTTACGATACGTGAAGTTTTACTTCCAATCAAGAGCACGAACAAGGACAAATCTACAAGATCTGCTCTTACTATACAGCTCTAGATTCGCGGGTGAACATTCATATATCTACAACACCCCACTTATCATTCATCTTCTCAAAATTCCCAGAGATGTCCCAGACGACAGTCACGTCCCTATTCCCACAAGAAATAGCTAGCTACTAAGCCTTCCACTTCAACCTGATTAAAAACTTCTTCACAAACCCACCATCGATGGTAGTCTGTCCCATAGCCTGCAATTCCCTCCATGCCTCGGGGTACGTAGCTCTAGCCCATTCTTCAATCATATCTTTCCGATTTTGACCAGGCATAGCATTATAGAAGACTCCGAGCCTGCATTCCAATCAGTGTAAATTCAAATATCGCAATTCATCGTCCACTCGGGATTGTGGCGAAAGAACAAGTGGGTGAAAAGGGGAAGGAAAACTCACATCAACCCATCAGGTCTAATACCGTAATCCTTTTCTCCACTCTGCATCAAATCCCTCACCTCATCTACTTTCCCCCTCGCCGATAGCGCACCACAATACGCTTGAAACACATCCTTCTTAATTTCAATCTCCAACCTCTTCAACCTAGCCCAAGTATCCCTTGCCACATCCTCCCCAAATGGACTCATTTGGCAAGCGCGGAAGACGATTTCCAAACTGCGGTAAGAAGGACCTTCTATAGAATTCGTGATATCATCCCAAAAGTCCAGGGCTCGGTCACCTTTACCAATGGAGAGATGTGCCAACATCAGAGAGTTATAGAGTTGGGTGTTGGGTTCGATGGAAGAGTCCATTCTTAACATATTGTGGACCATCTCCAGGGACTCGGCATCTTCACAACTGGCGATCCCTTCGAAGCATGCAACATAAGTTTCCAAATTGGGTTTGCGAGTGGCGTGAGCATGTTGACGCATGTGTCCAAAGGCGTAGCATGCCATATCCGATCTTCCACGAGCAAAGAATTCACGCATTAGCTTGGTGCGTAACGTTGTATCTGCTTCATCGAAGAGTTGTCGGAGTACTTGGTAGGAGTTCCAGGCCTTGGCATTGCTGTTCCTTCTATCCAAGCAGAACTCGACAAGTTTCTCCATAATGCTGGCCCTCTCTGGAAGCGTATAGTGGTAGGCGTTGGTTTGCAGAATGTCAAAGACATCTTGTGTATCCTCACGCTTCAGAAACATTAATGCGATTGCGGAGGTCGTTTGCGCTTGCAGGGGAACGCTCCTGGGTTCCAGATCTGACAAAATCGCGTTTACTCGATCATAAGTATTCGGTCTCAGGCAGAGCACGCGTAGATAGCGGTTGATAACGGGGAGATCTTCGTTCTCTATAATCTCTTCGGATTGAAGTGAGTTATAAGCTACCTGAGACCCCGAGAGATCTCCAGCGTCTAATCGGTAATTGATCTGCAGAATATAGGTTCTGGCGTTTGGATAAATGTTGTACTTCGCTCCTAGTGCTATATATCGTTCGGCAAGATATGAGTCTCCATTCGCCATGGCGCGCTCAACGAGTCCGTTGATGGTGTCGATGTCCGGTACGGGTGGCCCGTCTGGACCCTCTTGTTTGCTCATTATTTTCATCATACGTTCCACATCCTCCACACCCTTTCCAAGAGCTCCTGATGCCCATTGAAACACAACATCCCACTGGGTTTTAACTGGACCATTATCAATGACATGGCGGAAAACCTCTTTGCACCATTCCAACTCGTCGCGTCGAATGCACATATCCAACACCACGCGCAAAGTCGCGGCTGGCATGAAGGGGTCTGCTTCGAACGATTTCGATACCCACTTTTTGGTAGCTTCCAGGTCATTTTGGGAGGCATAAAACCTGACCATTTTCCGGATTCCTTTATGATACCATCGAGCTCCTCCGGATCCTATAGACTCCAGTCTCTTAACAACTTCAAGGAGCTCCGTTTCGTTATTTTCTCTCACATAACCGTCGGCGAGGCTTAAAAGAACCCGTGGAGACTCTTGTTTCGTGTCTTTCACCATTTGCTGAGCGGTTGCTGTTTCTCCACCAGCGCACAAAATAGCCACCACATGTGGGAAACACGACGCCGATTGATCGGCTCCTCTGCTTTCCAGCTCTTCGTGTATTCTTTTTGCTATCTTGAGATGCGTGGTATAGTCAGCCGGCAGGTGGTTTGAGAAAGCAACTAGACAATCTATGATTCTAGCACTGTTTAGAAGGTATGAACCAGTGTGTTCCCTCTTGTCTCGCAGATATTCGAAGACCTGCAAAACATGCATCGCTTGCAGAGAGTTGACTGGCTGCTTGGCCCATATTTTGAATCGGAAGAAGTGATCCCAGGCATCTACCAGCTCATGATCCAAAGGCAGTCTGGCACCCAAGTTTCGTAATTTCGAGAATTCAGCCAATTTTTCAAAGCCGGGGTCAAGCACTGGCTCTTTCTGTCTCCGTTCGGCTGGGCCCAAGAGATCAAAAAATGTCCTCCTTTGAGGTCGTCTGCTATCGGGGGAGAGATGCCGGGAGGATTGGACACGGGGTCGCAGTCGCAGATGTAATGCCGATTGAGAAGGGCAAGGGAATGTGAGGCCTTCGGTGGAGAGGAGTCGTCGGAAGACGCTGCGAGTCAATTGAGAGCGCATCGTAGCAGTGGATGCAGCTTCTTATGTACAGAAAACGAAAGCTGCCATAGACTGAGTTAGAGAATTTGATGCCAAGAAGATTTGCAGGTGCAGATATATGCGTAAAGGCTTACGAGGATATGTCATGAGGGGCAAGCCGTGCTGTGCGGTGCTATTTATTCGATGCCGACGTTGGAGCTTCAACCCAATTCAACTTTTTGACCAAGCTTTCCTAACCTGCCTTGTCATTGGAGGCTCACCTACGTAAAGTGGAGATATTTTGATCACATGACAGATCCCCATCCTTCTATCGCCTACGACCTACCTCCGTAGATGTATGATATATTCGAGTGGAACGCATCATTTTCCATTGTGTTTGCTGTAGCATCTATCACAATTCATAGGTTGGTACATCTACGCTATTCATGGAAAACACACTTCCCTTCACATACTCTTCAACGCCCTCTTTATGCACCCTCCCCTACCAACAACGCCGTCCCACCTAAATCCCAAGGTCGTAATCATCATACAATCATGCAATAAATCAAAGTAGTTCGCCCTCGCCTTCATCCATATCCGGCTCACTATCCCAGTCAAGGTTATCGGCTGCAGCTTCAGCGGCTCGTTGTACCTCCGCCAAACCACTGAGCTCTGTAACGTAAGTGGCATCTGATAGCGCACGCTTAACAAATTCCCATCCATTTCGTCTGTATTCGTTCACTATCTTGGGTGAACATGCAGAACAGCAATCGTAAGACTGTCCACTTATGATTTTGTTCTGGAAAGTGGAGAGAAATCCACGAATCTGATGAGGGACAATACCCAGTGGGTGCTCTGGAGGATCTCTTTCGTAGTCGATGGAAGCTGTAGAATTGTTTACGATGGCTTTGGGAGCTGGAGCTTCCGCACCTTTGGGGTGTTGTAGCATTGATACGAGAACTTCAACCAGTAAGTTGGAAGCCATGGCTGCAACTCCCGGACGCGTCACTGTGCACTGCTGATCGAGTGTTTGATCTTTGACAGACTGTATTGAAATTAGCACAAGCAATTTATATCGTATAGACAAGAATACTTACATCACCAGGCGCAACAACATCGTTGCAAAAGTAACAACCCAAAGCTGCTGGGCCACCATCTGATGCTGTAACACCATGTCTCATGACTACGTAAGTATCAAAGCCAAGTGCGGCGTTCATGACAATCTTTCCGGCAGCCTTCCCCATGACAGTTGGAATCCAACGACTCTCTCGAGTATCCATTAATAAAAAGATGGCATCATGTTCGTCAATGAGCTTTTGTAGCGTTTCGAAGTCCACTCTGATATTGGCTTCGTCCTCTACCGGATGACCAAGCATAGGAACAGCAAGCACATGACCCGTACTATCGACATTCGGATAAATTTCTTGCAGTGCGTCCGCCGCTCTGTGTGCTTTTTTCGCTCCGGTTGCCGCATCTTTGTGGTCAAATAGTGGCTGGCGAACAGGATTTGAATATGAAACATTCGCGTTATCCACAAATGTGATCTTGCGTACTCCCCATGCCATAAGTGCGCGAGAAACATAAGAGCCGAGAGTTCCAGCTCCCAGAAGAAGACACTTTGTTTCTTTGATCTTTTCAAGGTTGAGATCCGGAGCAATCCGCCACTTCATGAGCTTTAGATTCAAGTCGACTGCCTGGTCGGCTAATTGAATCGGATCCATATACTGGGCGAGACTCGTCACCTTTGCGCTCAATTTTCCAATACTGTTGCGTTCCCATCCGGTAACTCGAGGCATTACAGTCGTTTCGGGTTCTCCTTGTTGAGTCTCCAGCAAGAAGACTCGACTACGCGCCTGGTGCCGTTGGCTATGAACATCTCGATAGCTCAAGATTTGGACCTTGTCGAGCTTAAAACGACGTTTTATAAGAACCAACAGGTTTCTCAGCATCCATCCTGGGTTATCAGGATATGTGGATGGGTCGACGAAAGCTACAAACTGATCCTCTGGAGCTACTCCTCGGAAAAATCCGCTTTCAAATTGCCGTAAAGATCCAATCACCCATTTATAAGAAAGACCATTACCTTCGGTGCTCGTCTCGTGATGCGAAATGTGAGGCATTCTTTTCGCCAAGAAGAAGCCATGTTCTCTATTATCGGTTCCGTATTTCCACGTACCAACTTCATCCACCAAATCGGTAGTATCTTGCCCATTAAGTTGAGGGGGCTGAGTCTCAGACATTCTCCAGACTGGGTCAGAATGAAGGGCGGGAAAAGCAAACCAATATGTGAATGTATACTTTTTCAAGTTGGCAAAAGAAAGTACAGAAAATGAAGATAGTAGAGAGGGGATGGAGTAGATGGTCCCATCGTTGATGGCATCCCAAATCTATAGAACATTAGCTTAACTAGAATAAAAGAGGCTAGGACTCGGACCTGTTTCGCAGCTGTCTGTAATGTAGCCGTCTTGTCAATGTTCTTGAAATCTTCAATGGTATTTAGATTCTTAATCTTGCCCTCGGCACGTATATGGTTTGGTGGAACACTTGGCAATTAGCACAAATCTCCTTCGGAAATGAAGGCGTATTATCACTCACTCGTCACTTGTCAAGGCATTTCCAAGAACTCTCATGCGACAGCTGTCTTCGGGTTTGACAATTCGTGGCTCATATAAGCCAATAACCGTCCGAGCCGAGTCATCTAGTTTGTCATGATCGATTTTGGATTGAGACAAAGCTGTGTAAAAGGGAAGATCGATCTCAGAGCCAAAAGGGGCAAATTTCAAAGCCATATTGAGGCAGCAAAGCTCTTTAGAATTGTGATGGTGTTGTGGTGTTGTAAGTGTGAGTGTGAGCCAGGGCGGCGCAGCGGGGTTGAATCCGAGATTCAGGTCCAGCCAGGTCTTTGATGCAAGAAATGGAGGGGGTGGTGGGGTGGAGTGGGATGTGCCAATCTAGGTAAACTTAAAATCACCAAGACTTGACTTTTGCGTTGGAGGAAATGTGAAGATAGAAATATCTCCAACGAAGTTTAGTAGTGTAGCAAGCAACAGCCAGACTTGGGATATGAAGAAGCAGAAGTATCTCAGGATATATGTAGAGACGTCGGTTACGGTCAGCAAAACAGTCACGAAGCATGATCAGGTGGGGGTTTGGATTCACGTGTGCCAGGTATTTCCGATGAATCTCCGATGGCCCTGTTGCGTCCAACTTGGAGTGATAAATATACGCGACTTACTGGTAGCACCAGGTAGGAGCTCCGGGTTGTTTGTATGTATCCAGTGGTATCCCACCCACCCACAACAACTCACTTGTCACCATGTTGATAGGTCTTTGCGGCGGTATTTGTGCTGGGAAGAGAACTGTCGCCACTTACCTAGCAGAACATCATGGATTCACACACCTCTACCTTCGACCAGACAACTCAGTGGAAAGTGGAAACAAAGAATCGCAATCACCAGTGAAGAATGGAGTGGCTACCAAGGGAGAATCCAGGACTGAGGGCCGCGACTCATCTCTACGGACAGTTCCACAGCAGAAAGATGCCAGTGTAAACCAGCACCAGCACATCTTCAATACCACGGAAGATCTCCTTGATTTTGTTACGAAGAGATGGCGCGAACGCTGGGTCACAACCGACATCCACACAGAATCCATACTAGACAAACTCCTCAAGCGACCATTTTTCATCCTGGTCAGTGTGGATGCACCAGTCAGTGTACGCTGGAAACGATGTAACGCCCGTCTACAAACCACCCAGTCCTCTGCCACCACTCTCTCCCTTGAAGACTTCCTCCTCAAATCAGACGAGCACCTCTACAACCCCGAATCCGGTCTCCTCCCCCTCATTTCTCGCGCAACGATTCGACTACTAAACACCTCGAGCAACCTGGCCCACCTATACGCAACGCTAGGAAAACTCGATCTGACAAATGAGGATCGGTTGCGCCCCAGCTGGGACCAGTACTTTATGGAACTGGCTTCGCTCGCTGCGCAGAGAAGTAATTGCATGAAACGCCGAGTGGGATGTGTATTGGTTCGAGAAAAACGAGTCATCAGTACGGGATACAATGGGACACCAAGGGGTCTGAAGAACTGCGGGGACGGCGGCTGTGCTCGCTGCAATGAAGGACTTGGCTCCGGGTTTGGCTTGGGAACATGTCTATGTCTCCACGCAGAGGAGAATGCATTGCTAGAAGCGGGACGAGAGAGAATCAGAGAGGGTGCTATATTGTATTGCGATACTTGTCCCTGCTTGACATGCAGTATCAAGATTGCTCAAGTCGGTATAAGCGAAGTTGTTTATAGTCAAGGCTATAGTATGGATGGAGAAACGGCAGATGTATTCAAGCAGGCGGGTGTTAGATTAAGGCAATTCATACCAGTAAGTGGTTCTCCGTTGCGGGTTTTGTAGTAGGTTGCTAACTCATTTACAGCCTGCAAATGGTCTGATACACCTCGAGAAGCTGTCGCCCTACTAGTTCTGTCAAGATTCTGTCGCGAAATGATACCCCCATACACTTGTTGTCTGTAGTGTGAGCCAAATTTAAGCTGATGTTTATCATTTCAAATCCATACAATTGCATTCATGTGATCTCATATCTCCTCTTGTTCAAGAAACAAGTATATTCATTCATTTTCTAACCCCATTCATATATTAAGTTTTCAATCCTCAAAGGTATCGTATCCAACACAAACAGCACCAGAAGAAACCCCCCATTAGCCCAGCTGGTGTTCCCAACCATCTACCCCAAAAATCCTCCTACACCCTTTCGTACAATTCAATTATTTCCACTATCACTAGTATGATAAATAACCCATCCTCGGTGCTCTATTGATCCCCTATCTTCTAGCTCCAATATCCGTATAATTGCTCCACAACCAACATTAACTTTTAAGCGAGTACTTTACCCAAACACTACTCAAGAAAACCCCTACTCCCCTAACGTGTATACTAACTACCTAATCACTATATGTATTTCCAAGTGCAATCTTACTCTCACTCAAGTACTATATAACAGGTAGATACAGTATCTAAACTTCAAACAAACTCGAAGAGTGATGTGGTCTTATAAAGTAAAACCGCATAATTTACTTACCATACCATCAAATATCAACTTCCCATAATTTTCGAAACTTTTTATAAGCAAATTGACGGTATTGAAATTTACCAGGTCAAGCGAAATAGCAGGTAATAGGCACAGTAAAACAAGTCTCCGTATCCATCGTACCATCATCAACATCCTCTTTCCTCTTTCTATGTAATCTTACTATCCACTCAACACCATCCTCCATCCCTCCCTCCATCCCTCCCTCCTCCCCTCATACTCATCACAAAACCATCATCCATCCTCAAGCCTATCCAACCCAATCCAATCCAACCCCACATCCTCGACACCTCAGTACAGTGCAGTAACAACCTTCCCAAGTTCCCATCATCACACAAAACAACAAACTCCAAAAAACCACCAACAAGCAAGAAAAAACACTCAAAACCCCCCCCCCTTTCAAAATTTCAAATCCAAAAGGAGCAGAGATATCCATATCCTATAACGTTAAGAACCAAATACAGTAATGAAAAAAGGTAGATATAGTATATAGTAGGGAAATAGAGCGCTTCTTTACGCAGGGTTAACTCAATCTTACGAGGTGCGTACGTATCCTTCCTTTTCCCTTCCCCAAACCCAACCCAAGTTACCCAACACACTACCCAAGAATCAAATCACACTCGTACAGCACACACGTAACCCCTCACTAGTCTCTCTCTTAAAATTCCTTTACTTCCTCGAGTTCCTCCTCTCACTTCCCTCTCACCTCCCTCACACCTCCATCAAGTAAACAGTATCGACCGACCGAGCAAGTAATGACCATCATATCTCATTTCTATTTATGCATGTATGTCCTCTAACGCAGTAAGAGAAAAAAAGGCGGGGTTGGAGGAGTCAGTCTTCAAAGTGGAAAAAGAAGAAAAAATCTCGCTTGCGAAAAACGTCCTTCTATCGGGTTCGAGTACGAGTTCCAGAGAGAGAGAAAGATACGCAGGTCGACCAACCCACACCACCCACGAAAACAAATCCAGCAAGAGAGCCCCAGACCCATAGGTCATACGAGAATGCAAAGGGGTAGGGACGAAAAAGTAGCAAAGAAAACACAAAAATCAAAAATCAACACTCGTCACAAATCATCATCATCATCATCAACCCATCCCAACCAAACCACCAAACCCCGGAACCCTAATTCGAACCAGCATCACTCTCAAGCTCATCTTCACCCTCCTGTTCCTCGTCAACAGAAAGACCAATATTATCAACCTCCCTCATCGAACCCACACTCTTTCCATTTCTCGTCCTCTGCAATCCACCACTACCGCTTCCACTAGCACCATAAGAATCATCCGTCTCACTCATACTACTCCGACGGAACCCCTCCATTCTCTGCGTCTGCGTCCTACTGACCAGTCCTGGGAAGATCTTCGGCTTGCCGCCATTCAATCGCAAGTCCGAAAAGCCGTCCAATGCAGGCCATGGAGGTTCCCGAGAAATGCTTGTGAGATGTGGAGAAGACATCACTCTCTGGTCGAGAGACATGGCCTGTTGCAAGGGACTACTATGTTGTAACGGACTACCATGTCCTTGGCTGGCACTTTGCGAATCAAGCTGAACCTGGGAGTGTGAGGTAGGAATGCGAGCAGCTTGAGAGGGGAATGGTTGGTAGGGTGGTGGTGAGCCGATAGATTCCTGTACTGTGGAGCCACTGGTATGGGCCAGTTTAGAGGAGGATGGGGAGAAATTGTTTTTATTGAACGGATATGATTGCTCGTTGTTGCTTGTTGTAGCTATTGGAGTCGCAACAGCAGCGTAGCGTTCAATCCTAAAATTCGTGAGTGTTTGATCGAATGGGGTCTTGTGCGCAAAGGAGACACTCACATAGCGTGTTCTTGCACCAACGTCTCATGCCTGAATGCTTCACGAATATTTGGCACGTTACTCTTCGCCATGACATTTCCCTTGACACCAGGCAAGTTATAAAAGCGGCCAAGCCATCTTTGCTTGATGGCATGTTCGTAGCCACTTTGCTTAACGGAGTTCTTGGCAAGCTCACACATATCTACAGCACTAAGCTTGTAAATCTGAGCAGCCACAGAGTATTCTTCAATCAGGGGCTCCTTAGTAAACGCGAATTGAAGAGGATCGTCGGTGGAAAGTGAGACATTCAAACCACGTTTGAAGTAGCTCTGAAAGGGGTTTCTCTCATATGCCAAGAACAACGCATTATTGCTGAGAGGTGACATCGCGACACCAATTTGTTCAAGATAGAAGATGTACTGAAGGAGGGGAACTTTGCGAAGCAACAGTCCATGACTGATACTGTGGCAACCGAGAACAGCTGCTGCTAAGTGATCAGTATCACCAGCTTCGCCAGAATGAGGACGTGACAGGAATGTGTTGAATCCACGTTGCTTTCTCCACACATTCAATGAAGCCATGTTCGCGAGAATGTAATAGATCCAGTAACTATACGGTGGGTTCTGCTTTGAGTCCCATTCCTTTGGTACAGGAAACTTTCTGAATAATCTGCGTTCTGGTTTACTTTCATCATCGACACTATCAAATCCAACTACCCTTTGCAGAAATATATGCAGTTTTGGATGACTTGAAGGATCTTTAGTGACCTCAAACAAAGGCTGAAAGATGTTTTTGACAACTTGCTCAAAGTTCTCCATCAGGCCAGTGGCCTTGTAGACATCAAACAAGCGAGGTACTTGAATTAACCAGCGGACGTTGTGAGAAAAGAGTTTGTTGTCAACGACCCAACTAGCTAATTTATCCCACTCATCGATGCTGCGCTAAAAGGGATTAGTTTCAGATGAATTCAAGAGACGGGTGCTGTTTAGATATTGGAGTAAAATTGTTCTGGGTTTCCAGGGGCAAGGAATTAAAATGTCTAGCGAATGCGAAGACGTTGAAAACAAGGGGAAACGGCTGCAGGGATAACTTACGCCATATATTGATATACGCCACTCAGCCATTTGGTATTTACTTGATTCTAGATCAGAAATCACTTCCTTGGTGATCTCTGCCAAGTATCTTCCGTTGATAAAATTATCTGTCTTAAGAAAGATAGTTCTCAAACGAGACTCTCCAATAGGATTGTACTTCAAGTTGAATTTATCAAATCGATGGAACGAATCAGTATGCGCCTACAGTAATTAGCTTTATGATATGTATCGTTTCAAGTTCAACTTACGTGCATATCAAGCGTATCGATACTGAGATCATATGATGTCAGGTTGATACTTTGAAAGACTTCTTGTAGGGTAAGATGTTTTCCGTCTCTGAACATCACTACCTCGTCGGGACATTTCTTCATCTTGCTCTTGATGAACCGCAGCAGATGCTTTTGATTCATACAAGCAGAGTGGTGAACGTGAGTATCAACCTTTCTGACATTGTAGAAATCTCTGTGAGGCACCCTCTTGCTGTCCGCCATTTCCTGGTATTCATTCAGGAGAGCATACAGATTGAACTTACCCTCAAGGTATTGTAGCCGACGAAAGGCAAAACTCTTGCTAGGGCCATCAGAGGACACGTCAAGGATGGCTTCCAGGTCTTTGTAGAATTGTCGCAGATCTGGGAAATTTAGGACAGGAGTGTTATCAGACATAGACATGGGGTTCTCATAAACTTGATAAACGCCGTGCTCATCCATACGGAAGACCATTTCACTAGGTCCTGGCAGAGGCTGTAGATCTTCCATGTCGAAATCCTCACCAATATCTTGGCCAGGCTTCCGCTTCTTCTTTTTCTTCTCCTGTGTAGAGCTTTGTGGCTCTTGAGTGAGACTTGCTGTACTTAAATCCCGGGCGATTCCTTCAGTGCCCTTAATATGCGGCTTTTCGAGAATCATGCTGTTTGACATGCTCGCATTCTGGCTTCCCCTCCCAGCATTACTAGCGCCGAAACGTTCTTTCTCCTCATACCAAGCAGGCTCAGGCGGAGGAGGGTAGATGGTCCAGTTAGGGTCATCCTTTGGATTATCCCCATCTTGTTGCAAAGAAAGGCGGATATACTTGTGGCGAATGTCTAATATCTTTTGAATGTTCGAGTATATGGTCCGCAACTCGGACGTAATTTCAGCATCATTGTCTGCGTAGCCGCCAATGCCATGGCCAATACCCACTCCCGCACCTGCACCGTGTAATGCTTCTGTCTCCAAAAGCGGTTTCGGTTCTTGAGAGAGATACGGGTGCGATGTGTATTCTCTGGCTTTTTGCTCGGTTCGCAGGAGGGATGAGACTCGGCTAGGACCAAAGGCCGGACGGGGTAAACTTGCAAGACCTGGCTCTTGAATGACGGCGCTCTCAGGGTGCTTATTGGGGTCCGATAGTCCAACAGGGTAGGCAGGTTTGAACTTTACTGCGCTGAGAAATAATTAGCATGTTCCATCGGGCAGCAGACTGAGGCACAGAAGCGCTGACCTTGGAGGTAGCGAGGGGATATGTCCACCATTACTCTTAACCGAATTGACGCTGTCTGATCTTCGGAGACTGGTCTGTGTCGATGTCGCCTCCAAGCCATGTGCATTTGGAACGGATCTCGGAATAATGACTGGGCTGCTCTGTGGCGAGCCTTGTGAGTTTTCCCAATTGCTCCCACCGGCCTTGCCATCTAGTTGACTTCGTTGGTAGAAGAGTTTCGCATCTGCCTGGCTCAATTGCTTCTCGGCGACATAGTCATAATAGGCTGTCTTTTGTTGATAGTCTCGCAGCAGCATGCCATCTTCATCTCCAATCTCTCCATCCTGCTCTCCCAGAGTTCTGTGTTCTGGATAATCGACTTCGCCCATAGCTGCATCAGGTAACATTGGCGGGGTATCCGAATCGTCGGGATCAAAGGGGAGGGGCGCCATTTCCTCTGCTGTTTCCAGGTTCTCATGTAAATCTTGGGTGGAGCTTCTTGTCATGAGCTGCAGGGTCTTGGGGGGTCCACGCAAGGGAAACAGCCAATCGGCGAAAGGTTCTTCCAGCCGGGGACTGTGTATGAGTCAATTCCAGGTTCCATCTGAATATGGGGGAGTGAAATGTGGTTGGGTGCGTAGGTCAAGTCAAAGAAATCGGTCGCTAGGTAAGTACAAAGTACTTGACTATCACAGGTGATCAAAAGTGGTTGCGTGACATGTATTCTATTCTATCCAGATTTCCCATTGGTACTAACACTGGGAACACTAGCTCTATGCCTCACTCTTCCAGTACTTTTCTTGGATCCCCCCTCGAGTCCATACATGCCCCCTGCACCAAACACAATGATGGCTCCAAGGAGAGTTCCCGGAGAAAGTCTATGTCCAAACAGCCAAATGCTCAACAGCAAGCTTACCAGCTTCCGCACGTTGAGCACAATTGTTACCGTAAGGGCTGAAGCTGCAGCAGCAAGCAGATTTACACCTCTGATACATGCGTATTGTGTTAACACATTGGTGACCAAGTAGGCGAGCTGGCTTGGGATATAGATTTTGCTCAATCCCGATTGCAATTCTAGAGGAAGATTGGCATACGATTCTTGCCACGGCAGGACCAATGGGGGCGACGCAGCTAGCTTCAAAAATTGGCGATGCATGGCCGGCAAGAATGGAACAAAAAGAGGCAGCGCCAGAAGATGCGAATAAAACAGGTTTTCTCTCCAATGAGGGCCATATTCCTTGTACGTCTCTTCGGTGTACAGACCCATGATTGCAGAAAGGACCTGTGCAAAGAAGAGTATGGCGAGTCCGGTGCTAAAGGCAGGACGGTCCTGCGGAGTCGCCACTCCTTTCTGTTATGAATATTAGTCATGGAAAAGAGGAAGTAGTATGTGTTCTTTTCACCTTGGATTGTTGATCGGACCATGCTGCAATTACCACACCAACCGTCAAAAGAATGACAGCCAGAACCTGTACTCTTGAAAATCTCTTTCCCCACAAATATCCTGCTGCTAAGGTTGTGACACTTCCCCCGGATCGAAGAATTATATGAATAGGAACCGATATGTTATAGCTAAATGCGTGGTTATTTAGTACGTTGATGGTGAAAAATAATAGGATGTTGATCATCCACCGTCGAATCGGTACTCGATTTGGCTTGAGGAAAAAAGGTGGTCGATTGGTGTCAAACTGGGAAATGTATCCCGTAGTTGCTACAAAAAGAAATTGAACAAAAGTCATGAGGGTTCCTTCAAGGGGGTCAGCTTCTGGTTCTGATTATAGCAAGCAATGTATTCATACCACTATCTGGTTCAACCCTGGAACGCATGTATTAGCAACTTTCTTCCTTCGCACACGGAATTGACGCGCTTACTTCACAATAGCCTCCAGCGCAAAGACCTGTAAAAATCATGAGCCTGCCTCTTGCGTAGATCCGACCATTCCGACCAGAGTCACTCACATTTGAGCAACAGCCTCCAAAGATTAGTCCCAACATCACCCCTACCGCCAACCATTGTGGAATCGTCTCAATAAAAATACGTCCAGCCATGGCCAGCATCCTTGAGGAAGCTGGTCTCGGGTCGTCTATCCCATACATCTGCGCCTTTTCGAGGGAAGGGGCAGCATTGATGACCTTGGGCACGACTATATCCCCATCACTCGGGGTCTGGGGGTTTTGCAGATCTCGTAGGGTGGATCGACGACGGGTGGTTGCGGTCATAGGGTTCGAGAGAGACTGCTGGGTGCTGCTGGAGTCAGCTCTGCGTCTCCTGGCCATGTTATATGTGTCTCTGTTGGTTCTACTCGCAGCTCGTCAATCTGCGACTCTTTTTCTCTCCGACGGCTGCGCACTTCAGACAAGGGCGCTTGGTCGAGGGAGTTCAAGCTGACACTCGGACACGTTGACGTCGAAATTTATTGACACGGCCCGTTCATGCTGACTTGACTTCTGAGTCGGTAGAAGGATGGGACGGGGAAGGGGGACGAGGATAAGGACGAGGACGAGGCTGGGGATTAGGTGGAGAGGAGATGAGGAGGGTTTGGCGCAAGGCACTTACTTAAACAAAATGGATGCGATGCGATGCGACGGTGCAGTGGAGGATCTGGAAACTGGGGATGACACTATACGGCATAACTTAGGTGGGTGCAGAAGTAGGCGCAGGTGCAGGTGCAGGTGCCGGGAGTATACAGCGGAGGCACTGCAGAGAGTAGAAAACAGGGCAGAGCAGTACTCGTACAGTACGAGTAGTAGGGTAGGTAGTACTGTAGTACTGTAGTAATGTATTCTACTCGACGACTTAGGATCGACTTAGTAGGGTGTCTACACGCCAAATTGGGCATCCGAAACCCATCAAGTTACAAGGCCGGACTGCAACCCCAATCCTTGAAGCCCTGTCCGTTGCGGGTGCTAATCATTCCCGTCACTCACACATCCCCTACTATTTCAGGGCCCGGCCTCGGCAAGTGGCTAAAGACACAGATCAGGCACAAGTCAAAAGGAGGGGGGTCCTCCGGGGAGGGGTTATGAGGAGATAGTCCCCTACAAAACTACAGAGTATACAAAAGCATAAAAGAACTACCTATGCACACATTTCCACCATATAAGAAACCTAGAAAGTTAGTCACACATCAAAACTCCACAACAATACCTTCCTTTTCCGCGCAAAAACATTGGAAGAAAACTCAATGCCGTGTTTATTTTTAGAGCTTCCTACTCCGTACTAGAAACTGACCAGTACGAAAGTATAACAAGTTTACCTAGCATCAACCACAATCACCTCCCAAATACGAGTATGGTATTGGTAATTTACGAAAATGGACTCCGTACCCAGCCACATCTCAAACACGTCCCCGGGGTTTGAAGAATTCCATAGCCCGGAGTAGCCCGTCTATACGGAGCTCATGATCCTAATTATTAATTACTATTTAGTACAGTAGACGTTGAAATCTCGTATACAGCTCCCAGATAGGCACGCCATAACCTGTAGAGTATATACTATACACAGATGCCATCGTACGTACCTAGCTTCTCCCTATAGTTCAAGTAACAAAGAATCTATAAGTTGCCTCATACTTAGCCGATTATAGCGGGAATTATAACGAGTTCTAGGAGTATAGAGGAGGGAGCAAAGTAATTATAAAAGAAGTAGTTATATTAAGTTAAAAGCTTACTAAATTATATAGGAGGGAGTACAAGTTTATATAGTACTAGCGTATATATCCCTTAGCTAATACCTAAAAGAGCTCTACTACAAAGGAAGTAAAGCGGCCCTTATAACCTACTATATAATATACTTCTTAGGTACGCTAGGACTAATACTATTACTAGCCTTTACTTCTTTAATCTCTAGACTACTACTATAATAATATTATAATACTAATACTATACTCTACTAGTCTAAATTAGATTATATTATATATACTCTAAATACTTATATTACTAAAAATTCGACTATAGGTATAAGTATAACCTTATTATAAGTAGTTTTAACTTTATAAATATACCTTAATATCTATAATCTAAGATCTAGTTTTTAAGCTTTACCCTACCTAGCTGATATATAAAATAGTATACTAGATTACTTAATAGCTTTGTTTACTATACTAAGCCTAACCCTAAACCTAAACCTAAACCTAAGTATAAGCTTAAGCCTACTTCTACTTCTACTACTAATATATTATTACCTCTTTCTAAGGTTCCTCTAGTTCTAGAAAATCCTTTTAGAGTTAATCTTTCTAATATTTTTATATCTCCTAATAGTAAGAATACTAAAGCTAAAAAAGAACTTATTATTATAACTCCTTCAAAAGAGCTTAAAGAAGATAATAGTTACGTTTATACCTATTTATATATACCTAAACCTATATTATCCTAATTAAGAAAAGTATACTAATAAGGTAAAGTTTATATTACTCTTTACCTTAGTTATACTTAAGCTATACTATATAGAGAAAATGAGGACAAGGATATATATTATAATATTTTAGGTATATATATAAGTATATACTACTTCTAGTACTCTAAATGTGACGGAGCTGGATTTCATTTGACAGGATTTCATTCGCTTGGCCAAGCACGTGACGAGACTTGGCATTGGAACAACTTAAATAACTTCGCTCCTTTCAGATTCTCTCCTCTCTTTAGTTTGATTTCTTCGTACCTACGGTTTTAGTTCTAGCAATTGATTCAAAAGCTGTATACACTTTATCCTTTGTTGGCATCCGAGACACTAAAGGTTATACCTATAAACCTCTCCTACTACTTTATACTCTCTTTATACTCTAGCTTTAGAGTATTCTTTATAAACCTTAAGGCTCTAATAGAAAATCTAGATAAGATATTTAATAAATCTCAGTTTAAATTATACTAATTTAAAATAAATAAATTAGAAGATATTATACTATAGTTAACTAGGTACTAGAGTATCATAGAGATAAAGAGTTTAATAATATACTTATTACTACTTACTTATAAGAGTATTCTACTATAATAGTACTTAGTAGAAAGTAAGTCAGGAAGTCTTCTAGAACTAGTACTACTAGAAAGGATACTATTATACCTATAAAAACCAATACTAAACTTATAGAAAAAGTAGAGCCCTTTCATAATATTAAGACTACGTTCCTAGCTTTAGGTAGTACTATTAAGAAGTTAAAAGAATATCTAGCTACTTGTAACGAATACTCAAACTGGCTAACTAAACTTGGCTGGGTGTTCGCTGGTTGGTATGCTATGATAAGAAGAAGACTATCGGGTTGTTCACTTGGAAGTGAACTCGTTACTTGTATCAAAGATGTCAAACTGATATGATAAGATTGATAACTAAGTTGAGCACGA